AACCTTTCCATTGTCTACTATCATTCACCATGCCCTCGAAAGTCTGCATCCAGCGATCCTTTTCATTTCATAATCCATAACCCGGAAGACGTGTGGGGCCGACAACAGCTAGACTAGTAATAAAAGCCTTGACGTTTTGGCGCTATGTGATAGTTGACCGCCGCGCAATTTCTTCCAGTGCTACCCTGCGCGATCGAACAGGGCACGCCGTAGTAAACGCCCACACGGTATGCGTAAAATGTGAGTTAGCCACCTGAGTTGGCACAACGACATTAGCTTGCTGAGATTGAGGCCCGTGTTGCCCAGGATGCGACGTCTTACATCGTCATTGCAAACATGGGGTTTCCACCACACACGACCTATTCTGCGCAGGCAGTCGTTATCAAAGGCCGAAATCCGGTACAAATCGTTTACACGGATCGGCCAGTACTCGCTTCCGTACAATAGGACAAGTTAACCTAGGCGTTGTATGCTCTGCACTTTACAGAGTGAAACGTCATGACGATAAGCGAATGTAGATCGTATCTTGGCCATACGGATAGAAATACCCCTTCCAATGGTGCCATCAGAAGAAATGCAGCTCCCAAGGTAGATGAAGCTATCTACTTCTTCGACCTGCAGACCTTCATGAATCAGCACGAGGGTAGGTGGACTCCAATCTTGGAGTAGAATCTTGCATTTTGCTGGAACAAAGGTCATGCCATACCTGTTAACCTCAACCACCAAGTGGTTTAAAACGACCTGCATACTCTGTGAGTCGTCACCGAGCAAGACAATATCATCAGCGTGGTCCAGGTCAGTTGGGCGGTTGCTAGGAAGAAGCTCTACGCGAAGGCTCTAGAGACCTTCTAGAGTGCCTAATAAAACACCTATCCCAAAGTTAAAGAGAAACGGGGATATGGGGCATACCTGTTCCACACCGTAAGTGATGGCGAGAGGCGAATAGAGCTTACCGTAAGACCTCACTCTGCCAGAGACATAGTTGCTTAAAGCCCGCAAGATGGTGGTATACTTTTTAGATACCCTATTCCTTTACAGACGACCCCATAAAGCACGCCGGCCGACCGATTTGCAGCTTTACCAAAACAGCGTTCGTGTGCTTTGCGCGCTCAGACGCAGTTTCAGCACTTGGTCCGAAGAGATTACCAGTCGTCGCTACGTCTCAATAATGCAACCAATGCTAGAGTATGGCTCTTCCGCGTATTGTCCTATCACTCAGGGCGAGGTAAAAAAGATTAAGCGAGTGCAGCATGTAGCCACCAGGCTGGTTCCCAATTTACTAGGTGTACCGTACGAAGACCGGTGTAAGAAAATAGGGCTTTACACACTAGCTTATTGTCGACTGCGAGTTGACCTCATCATGACACACCGGCTATTACATCTGGGCGATTACCCCATGTTGAGGCCGCTTCTTCATCTGCGCACACCAAGAAGCACACGAGGACACCGGTACAGGCTTGTAGTATCGGATTTGAAGCGGATCGCTCACCAACTCTGTTTCGAACGGAGAGTGGTAAATGTATGGAACAACCTACCGCAGCACGTAGTTGTGGCAAATTCGGTGTCAGAATTTAAGACATTCCTGGGCAAACACTTTGCCGATATAAAATATATCGAGCGCACTCCAACATAACGGTTCCTTGTCTCTGAGTGACATTAGATGCAGCTACACAGAGAAACCTCTTCTTGCTGCTTCCAACCAGTGATCCGTCTAAAATGGCAACAATGGTAGACTGGCGATGGAAGTGGCGCTGCTCAAGGAGTTGGCGGAGCGTAAACATGTGGTCATCGCACCCCATTTATCTACTAACGAGTCACATTCACCACGTCACAGCGTTGTTCGGCGGACTTACGGAGTTTTTTCAGTAGTAACGCTTATCAGGCAAAGATCCACTGCGTCCTGATACAAAGACAGACAGCAGTACCTCGGTACATCATACCGACTTTTCGCTGCTACGCACTTACCACCAGTCGAGCATGGGCTAAGAATGCCTCGATGGTTGTCCGGTCCCCTACGCAGGCTCGAACCGGTGGTGTTTGGGTTACGAGACAGACGGCTTTTCCTTTCGGCCACAGGTCGTCTACGTCCTGATATATTTCAGCCGAACTATTTGCTGGAACGAGATAAACCCGAACCATCCAGATGGCACCACGAGAAGGCTGTTCTCCAATCAAGTCATCGATGACATGACCAAGTGCGCAAGAAGACTCACCCGAAAGGCTTTTCTAGACATAGACCTTTGAATGGGCCACATTAATGTTTGACCACCTTTTCGGCCGTGGTTCAGTTACAGATTCCGTAACGGTCTTACATGCTTACCCTCAACTTTGGCCTTTAATAGCTTCATCTTGCGATTTTATTTCTTACACACTCCTGTTAAATTATTGTTATTACTGTCACAGCGACGTGCGTTAATCCTAGTTTGACTGACTGCACTTCGATGCACAGGTCTCACTTATAAACTGCTCTGAACTGAAGATGCAACACGAATCCAAACTTCTGTCTAATTCTGGCTTTGCGCACTCAGGATTAGCGCTTCATGCTCACTGATGTATCACGTGGGTCGGGTGCGAACCGGCTTCGGATAATAAGACTTCTCATTTGTGCAATAATCTTGACTCTATCCTTTCCGAATCACACCGGATAAGAAATAACTATTTTGTTGTTGATGCAGAATTCGCTTCAAATCAATTAACTCACTGTTGTGTTGAACTACTTCGCAATTGATTACCGTCGTGCGCACCATGCCTGTTTGATTCCACCCACCCACAGCTCAGGCACGTCCCACACCTTGTTGCTCTCTTCCATCTCTCAAGCTAGCAAAACACATCGTTACTTTGTGACCATCGGACCATGGTTGCAAGTTACTACTATTTTTGATGGAATTCGCACCTTTCCAATGTTGAGTACGTGTACTCATTACCGTGTGTTATTATACTCAGGCTAGAAGGATGTCGCGACAGGTGTGCACATTCTTCACCTCATCTGACCTTCCGTTTGCTACACGTCTGCTATGTGGAAATTCACTTTGCACTAAGCACTTGGTAGAGCAACCTGTGCAACGAGTGGAAATGACTTCTGTCAAGCCTTTCGGAAATGCATATCTTGGGTTAGCAAGCGGTGCTATAGTGACATGATTCATTAGACTGACTAGTATGAAGTACATTGCTACTGTTGTATCGCCACCAACCATCCGCACACGACGGTTCCAAGGAGAACACGAAGACGAACCGGGACAGACTTGCCAACATGAGATTACTACTTGTCTTATGCAGTATACCGTAGCAATAGAAGCAGAGATACTAAAACCTATCAGAACCAACCAACAACGATGGAGACGCCAATTCACACAGGCGAATAAAAGTCACAAAGTAAGAACCAGTCATGTATGTTAGCGAAAACGATATTAGTGGAAATTGGACCCTGAGATAACATCTATTACGAACCACATATGCCGGCCAATACAATTGAAGAAATAACGCGTTTAAATGACCGTCAGACAACGAACGAAGGCAAAATGAACGTTAATAAAAAATGTATGTCCAGCAGGCTTCTTCCTAACAGCTACATACAGCCTGGCAAAAAACAGAATCTCGGAGTCACAGGTCAAGAGTGCATATGTAACTAATGAGTTTGATTTAGAAGCTGTGGTCGTCAGAGTGAGCCTCATAAAGTTGTCAAACCTGTTTCACCAGAATTAAATTCTGATCGAGGTCGAGATGCCGCTTTTCTGGAATCGTACAAGCCCCCTCCCCTAATAACAAGAATAATATAATAGGTATCTTCCTCATCGTGTGCGCTATGTTCACAATTGACATATCATTTTCGTGCAGACATCATCATGCTCTTGCACGGATAGTGCATGGTTTTGTGCATTTTGTTATATGTGCATTTTCCTGAACCGTTTCGTATTCGCAAGGTTGTTTTCTTGCAATCTTGTTGGCCACCGGCTTATCTGTTGACTGCTACTGAACACAAAGAAGGCGAACGAGCTACTCGGATCTCAACGGTCTCCGTTAATCGTCCCGCTGTATTGCGGGTCAGGTCTTTATGACCAGAGGCCTGGGGATGGAGTTCCTTAAGTCAACACTCTTCCTTGGTCTGGGCAACGGGAAACATCTCTGCCCGCGCAACACATTAACCTTGTAAACCTTCCAAACCTTTCCACTGTTTACCTGTTTTCCCCTTGTTGTTGTTGTTCACTATGTGTTATTGCATTACCAATCGTATATTGGTCAGGTGTTAACTACTATATAATATTCATAAGCCTGCTTGCTTTTCAAGCTGTACTTATCTTGTGGCTTGTCGGATCGCACACGCCAGTTTTCATACGATTAATGTTATTGAGTCATGTTGTACTACGGTAGATAGTCTTGTTCTCTTGATCGATCACAGACCCACAGCAACGTCTATTAGTACACATTTTATCTCTACTTCCTCCACATATGGCACCTTAATTACTCAATCGAACATGATGGCATGCGTTTTGGGGGCGACTAAATACTACGCGCATCGGATTATTCCTGCAGCCCTTCCCTCTTTTACTGACGAGACTCACGTAAACCGTTCCGCGCATTACACAAGTTTGTGTTGCCACTGCTGCGGTCTACCGGCATCCTTCTTTTTCTAAGCGGCATACCTGTGTGTTAGGCTTCCAGTGGTTTAAGTCTTGTGAACTCGGTACTACAAGCTGCCAGTTAGTTCCTCTTCGTCAGTGCTGGTACGCATCTCCTCGTTTGATTGACGAATTATGCCACTTCGTTTCTGTTGTACTCTGTTTCTCACCTTCGACCTACTTTTGTCGGTCAGTTTCCTCTTCTAACTTCGAGATCAGATAGACATACTTAGAAACTGTTTTTACTCGCGCATGTTTGGGTATTTACAATGACCTTACCCTGAGCTATACACTCCAAAGTACTCCTGCCGGTTGTTGTGTCTTGATACTATTCATTCGGACCCCATGCGCTTGGTCATGTACCGACTTATTCCCTGTTTACAGGCCACAGCACGGGAGACCCATTGATCATGCTCTCTCAGAACAAACGGCAAGATCATCCGGTAGATGCGATAGCAGTGCCGATTTTATAGTGGACGACGAAGGTTTTCTCGATGGGCCCAGTGACTCTGCCTGCGGTATGGATGCGAGCGACGCTCTCACCTTGCGCTCCGAGTCACATCAACATATATCCAACCAAGCGAATTCTCGTGCTCTGTGGATCAAACATCTTGCTTCGTCGGATCGCACGCGACAAGATTCCGTTTCGAGAAATGGCAGCGTCGTGTTTGGCAGTCCTGATGTGGTAAGTTGTAGGGAACAATGCGATTTGAACATCATGTGTGCATTTGCGCCTTAACTGTTGTTCCTCCCATACCGTTGGCATTCTGCTTTGTGCCTGTCCGTTGCACGCGTAGTTTCTTCTCGATGTTAAAGTAACCACACTCATATATACTACTCACAACCGCACTAGGCCCCATTGATCACATCAATGCACATATCTCTCCATTCTGCTAGAAGCTGTTGCTGAACTGGGACAGATCATTCGCCCAGTAATGATCATGAACATGCATGAGTGATACACGTATTCTGGTGCGTATTTGTCATCAAAACATTCTGAAATACATGCCTTTTGTTGTTGCTGAGTTTTGTGTGACATCGTTTCTCACTGGTTGAATATTCCTTGATCCATCCTGGAAGACTTCATTCGGTGGAGATGTCTTGGTGTTGCTCCTCCCAACACTGACACCTCACGACCGGTTTCGTCCTGGCTGTGACTCATCAGATGGAGACACCCTGAGCTGAGAGAAACTTTAACTTCCTTGTCGCTGTGCCAAGCGTTGCTCACGGATCTTAGTGGCGTAGTGATCAAAGCGTCAGCCGTTAACCACTAGGCCGCGTGTTCCACCTCAGTTCAGGCTCTCTTCATCTGATGAGTCCAAACCAAAACAAAACCGGTAATGGAGTGTCAGTTTTTTCGAGGAGCAACACCGAAACACCTCCATTTCGGTTACGATCCTTGTGATCTGAATGACATATGTCCACTTAAATGTGACCCGAGGTCTGAATACAGATTGCGTGTCGCAATCCCACCACCCGGCGGGTATTGCAAATCGAGCTTTGGACTCACTTGATGCTTTGCCCGATGAAAACATGGTCATTACCGATTTCCACTCCGGGAAATTTCGACATTTAATGCAGAATGATCTTACATTCGTACAGAACCTGATAGTAGCTGGCAATCTATTTCAAACGACAATGTATCGGACGAGCAAGAAATTGGATAGAATAGGTGTCCTGGTTATTGTCACAGTTAGTTTCCTAGTCTTGTTACGAACTTACCTGGTCAAGTTATGTTGCAGTTCTAATGTGCACAGACTAGAGTATATCATTTGATTTGAGATTGGATATGAGCATCAGCTTAGGTTTCAGTCTTCGCAACCAAAGTGGCTCAAGCTTAAGCTGCTGGTAACGATCATGCTATCTTTAAATGGTCCGTGTACTGAACAGACGTTTGATGAATGATATCTGCATATTTTTCAAAGCTTTTCTGTCGCCCTTATATTTCCTTAAATGATGCTGCAGCAGTCAACGATAGGTATGAGTATTTCGAAAAGCTCCCTCTGGCAGGGGTTGTATGGATTTTTTGGCATATGTTAGTCAAAGATCGTTTGGCGCATATCATTCAATACTCATTCTGCTCTGAGAACTGAAGTTCGAAGAGTATCGTATGCCTAGATCACAGTCAGACAGTTTCACACAGATGCGTACATTTAATTTAATCGACACTTCAGGAATCACAAATCCGTGTGACATGATGCGTGGTTTATCAGCTGAAAACTCCTTCAGCCATATGTCTCACCATTTCCCAAGTGAGTCGATGTCTTCTTGAACCAGCAACATTGTACTTCCGAGTTCGTGTCGGATAATTTTTTAAACAACCTTACTGTCATCGGCGAACAAAAATAGTCTGCCATCTTTGATGAACATCGTGCTATCGTTAAGATAGAGTAGCAAAAGGGAGGGACTAAATACACTCCCTTGGATGACACCACTAGTGAGTATTGAGTGAGTGAGTGATTATTATTCAGACCGATACTCTCTGGTAGCGCCTATTTAGCTATGATGTCACGCAGCCCAATAATAGGTCTCTGATCCCAAATGACTCTGTTAAGAGGGGCACCTCCTAACGAATCGACCGATGGCGCTTGCTTTCGACAAGAACCAATGGATTATGGCAAGATTTCTTCATACAGTCTTATTTATCAATGAAAAGAATGTTCCCGGAAATTCAGATACTATTATTGACAAGTAACGAATGAGAAAGAACGAAGAATATACAAGGTCGCCCAATACCTGTAAATTTAACCCGCATGCTCCACCTCTTGACTTGTCATTCCGAAAATACACGGTTTCACGAGGTCCGCCATTGTTGTTTGTCAGCCAATCCGTGGTCTTGGTCAAACAGCTAATCGGAAAGAAGCCGTGACCATTGCAACGCAGAGCCCGGGGGTTCGCACATCCAATTGGAGTGAAGCGGCGGTCATAACAGACTCTACTTTTTAAGTAGCCGCTTGTGAGGCACCCTGCCAAAGGTATTTTTACATCCATTAGATGCTATGATGTAATCCGGGTAGTGCAACTGATAAGTTGTACAAGAACCCATGCTGAGATTTGTTAAGCAGTCCAAGGTTATAGATAAAGCTTATGATTCCACTTTTAATTAATTTTTATACCTGTCTAGCAACGATGGGAGTGTGATGGATAAGCCTATAATTAGTGACATTCTGTTTGGACCCCCTTTATGACGATGACTAATGAACAATGTTTTCCATTGATCCGGACAATGGCTAGATTCTAACAACAACGTTAACTTGTTCAGCAAAATCAGTGATATTACAGGTCCATTATCTTTGTCGGTGGATGGGTGGATGCTATCGGAATCTGGTTTGAGCGATGGTTTGATGGACTTAATAGCCTGTTGTATGCTCGAAAGTGAAATCTTGTATAGGACGTTTGTTGTAAGTTCCGGGCAGGGAGATATGGGATCGGTTTCTGGGTTCATGGAGACAGCGAAAAAAGAACTAAATACTTCACAAGTAGCAGGTGGGTAGTTAATGTAACAACCCTCTTCATCGATCAGTCCCGTGATCACAGACGTCCGATCGTTAACTCTAGGATCGAACAATTTTCTCAGTTGCTTTCCTTCGCATCCCATCCGCAAGGCATTCCCCTCCTCCTCTTCTCTTTGCTTCATTTGTGAACGCTTGAACCAGACGATGGATTCGGTACAATTGCAATATTAATGAAAAGGCTTTGCTCTTACCGAATTTCCCGATTAATTTACTCACCTTCAGCTCACTCCGAGTATCACTTGCATTCTTAGGATGAGGAATGGCACGTTTATAATATGAGACAAATAGTACCCTCATGATACGATACATCTGATAGTAGAACTGTTCAATTGCAATAGGACACTAGTGGTGCTACCCCAATTAGAAGGCCAGGTTAACTTCTGAAAAATCTCTTTTTTAAATAGTATGATGGATACCTGAGTCGAGTTTGGTATACATTTCCATATAGGAGGTAATTCGAAGTATCTTGTGATCATCACCAGAGAGGTCGTCATAGATGACAATTTGTGGGTCGGAGTTCCCAGCGTAAATATTACATCAAGGGCTTGTCAGAGCAACATCACTTCTTTCAGATAATTCGCAACCAGGCTTGTTGACTAATTGTATGCTGAACCAGGACAACAATTCACTACATTTTCTTTCTTCTGGGATGCGCTGTTCTGTGGGATAGTCTACCAGCCGTCATCAGGTCGTGTGAAAGTGTACCAACATCCCATTCCAAATTTAAACTTCGGTGATGGTCCCGTTTTCATTGGGAAAATCGCCTAACATTTTTCCACGATGGACCAAAACTATGTTGCTAGTGGGGAGAAATTGTAGCGCAAAACCCAACACTAACAAGTAGGATGTTTTAACAAGACTGACACTAACGAATACTCACCTCACTCATGTCAACTGACGACCATAGCTGTATCTAATGGTCTGTCCCTATTACGAACAGCTTTTGACACATCTGAGTAATATACGTATTATTATTATTATGACGATATAGTTCATGCACTGTGACCTCCGTTGCCTGGTTAAGATTCACGGCACGCCGTTTCCTGAATCCCTCACAACGAGTGAGATTTTCTCTGGGATTGTGCTGAATCTTTTTTCTCTTACGGCTTAGCCATGATGGTCATGAATGATTCCGCCTTCTCAAACTCTTCCGTAGTGGAAATTCCACCAGGTGCCCAACCGTTAAACCTGGTATGAACCCATCATCTGCGCAACCGCTGCGCGCTTCGTCATGTGTTTCACACTTTCCAAGTGTAGGGCGCTGTTGTTGAACCGGGTCGATGCATCAACACTTTCAGCTGTCATCGAACAATCGCTTGAATTGGTCGGTCAACTTACTTATCTCGACAATATTATCATCTCTGTTAGCGTCAGTCTACGGACGTCATCTCATTTATCAGCAGCGCACGCGTGGCTTCTCTAAATCTAGACTCCCTATGGGATGACTGTTATTATTATGTACGTTGGCTAGAGGTGGAAACACCTCAGCTACTGTGCCGCAATACATAAGAGAAAAAAAGGAAAAAAATCATGCAACAGTTGCATGTCAGTTGAACCAACAGTAACGGATGGGCATCGTTCCGGAAAGATACCAGCCAGCTACTACGCAGCAAAATAATTTATTATGCAAAATTATATTATGCTATGTGGGATGGCTGAACACTATCGTGTCAGTACAAAGTGGGTGTATAAAGAAACGGGGAATTTAATAATTATTTAAGCAAGTGTTTGATCATCATCATCATCAATGGCAGTACAACAGCCGTTTTAACTGATGCTTCGCTGTCGTACAATCACTATGACCTTCGGAACGAAGGATAACACCTGAAAGAGAAGGGGCACTTAGCGTAAAACCTTAACGCCTTTAACAAACATTCGTGATCAAGGTGCCCACTCCTTGTCAGCAACATTCCGTTTAAAGTCTGTTTGGTGCTGAGTTATTCGCGGTGTGTCAGATTATGATGCGGGGCAGTGGAAGCCACAAGGCATCTGTCTCGCTGATGCCGCTTTGCACGATAGCCAGTTTTTTTAATGATGTTGATAATCACGTATTTAATACTTACAGAATATGGTACTCATCTGATAACAACACCAGAAGAGCAACGCTGAAGGCCACTGATGTTTGTAAAGGAACTCTCATGCAGCAATGGAATGTCAGCTGACTTTGACCCGTTTCTATTGGTTGGACCATGTCCTCTGAATGCCGTCTTCAGAATGCATTGTATACTGTCGCTTCACTTGGTTAGGCGAAATCACAAGGTGACCAAACGATATAGTGGCACTAAACATTTTACCTAGTAACTGTCAGACTGGTATGTGTTATGTTGGTGGATGAGACCTCAGAATGGGCTACCTAAGCGGTTGTGGACCCTATCTGACATGACACAGTAGCGCAGTCAGTGTTTATCCGTTTTAACATTCTCTCTTCGCCTTTTCTTGGTATTCTGTTTGCGTTTTACTTCATTCTCCTCAATTTGGTTACTTATTGTTCTGTTGGTGAGATAAGTGATACCACCTGGATCCACCGCCGGGGCTGGAGCCTAATCATTTGTAACTCCTAGTATTCCTCCTTCCCGGGCCATTTTCATTGTCTCCACCATCTACAGCAACCATTAGCACCGTTGTGCAGCCCCATCCACCAGCTCATTGCGGTGTATTCGGACTGCAATGCTACATCACTTACTCTAAAACTGCAGTACGCCTTTTCACAAATTCACATTATGTATTTCTCTTGTTCCCAAGAAACCATGTCCACAAAGGGACGGATCATACTTACATGGATAACATGCTCACGCCTGCAGAACTGTCGATGCCTGCGTTTTGTGCAATGGTGTAATAGGGGCTTTCTGGTGAAAGTCTTCTTCTGGATCGATCACTGTCGTTAGCCACGAGTTCACGTCATTCACAGTTGTTTCTTTACGATGCACATGGGGGACCTACTACTTCCTAAAACGCAGTGTCAACTTAGCGTCATCGAGCAAGACGTACAATGGCCGGCCCGTGGCCTAATGTAATCCGAGGACGCTTAGGGGCACGAGGGACCATCGCAGGATCGTTAATCCACAGGCGACTGTGGTTCCACAACATCAGTGCGTCGATACTGCGTACCGGCGTACGGTTGAAACCTCTTACCATGGGTTATGCAGTGTTCTTACGCAGTCGAGGCTCCACCAAATTCTGGTGCTCCTCAATGCTCTGTCTATGTGTAAATTGCAAATGTTGAGGTTGACTTCAACCACTCCCACGAAATTCATTTTATACCCAGTTCTGATCAAGCGGATAATACATTCGGATCAATAACACTATTAACATCCGTTCAACACGAGCTGTGATCCGATAAGTTCGCGTTAGCGATGACTGTCTAGTTGACTGTGTCTAGTTGCTAGACTACTGAGATTACTACTACTACTATTACTACTAAGTTCGCGTTATCGTCCGACCGTACCCGAGCGGCCGGATGTTCGGTCGCTCACGCCTTTGGCTCATAAATACAAATAGACGGACTATCGCTCTATTGCTTCATCTGGTTTTACCGAGTTCTGTCTGCCCTTTGTTGGTCTCATTCTGCTGTGTACCAAGGTTATTGTGCATTCCACTCGTCTCCTCTTAGCTTTTGCATCGCACCACCAGTGACATGTATGACTGACTGTTCGAACGTAGACCGGAGCAGAATTGAATCTAGCAACTGCTCCTATAAGTTTAATCACTAACGGAATCTACTCTACCACGCTTGCGTTTTCCTAAACAACTTATCCAAATTGTTTTCCTAAGCAAAACTGCCTGTCACTCACATTGACACATTGTTTCCTCAGACTACATCTTTTCTGCTTCCTGTTTCGAAATGAACAGCCGGACCGTACCCTTTATCCATAGAGACCAGTTGTTTTTCCTTCTTCTCTGGTTGATTTCGGGTTCAGAGGAATGCATGCTTCTACCTAGCAAGTTCTCTAGGCTTGAACACATCGGCGGTTGTGAACCTATATGTCCTGAAGCAAATTCGATGTTTCTCACGCGCCTGACAACGGTTTCAGCACAGTTTGACTCTTTACTTTTCGCTTCACTCTGCAGTTAGCTCTTCTGGTGACGAGAAGACGGACACATTTTGTGACGACTCATGATGAATGCTTCCGGTGTGTAGAGCTTGGCACATCCTCTCGTTCCTCTCAGTTGTCAGTCGCCACCGTTGTCATCACGCCCCACTTTGTATTCCGGGGGCCGACACGTTTTTCTTTTTTTGACCCTCTCCCTTTGTGCTTCACCACAACTGTGTGCCTTCTGTCCTCCATCTGTAGCCGCGATTGTGGAATTCGATTAACCCGAATCTGGACTCTTCGTCGCACACCGAGCTTTCCGAGACTGAGTCAACACAGCGCCCACCTCTTGGCGGTTCGGAATGCTCACATCCACCAACTGACACTCAACGCGCCTCGACAATGTGGCCCGAAGACACCAAGGCAGCTGGTGATGTGGATGAGGATGAGTTGGAAGTGGCTGACTTGTTGCATTTGATTGGGAGTTCTCTTGATCGTTTCAATGCCATTCTTCATCCAAGCGAGCTTTCTGCAACAGATTCACGTAGCATTGGCGAGCCGTTTTCAGACCGTATTACTGACCCGACTTCTAGTGATTACGGATCATTTGAGCCGTCTGTCGACAAGCCAACGCACTTCGGTAATCTAAACGAAGCCTCAGATAAGCACCAGGTGAGCTTTTCCCCCGTCCTTTATAAGCTTTTCACGTGCGTTTGACTGCGCCACTACTTGCCACCTTTTCATTTAGTGAAAGCAGTTGGAAGGAAATCTCATTTTCTCACTGATGGTGCGCTTTTCAGATGTTCTTCCCCCTCGTCATTCACTCTGTCTGTTCCGACTTAGTGTTTCTGCACTTCCAGCGGACAAACTGTCTGTTTGATCAAAGCATGCAGGTGTCTTCCTTAGATACCTTCTGTCATTCGCTAGCAGGTTTTTTTACTGTGTAGGTTCACCCTACTTGGATTAACTCGAAATACCGGTCGATCTGGTTGAGTGTTTAGATGTTGATTGTGTTTTCCATGCTGGATATCTGAGTATTTACTGGTGTTTCACCACCAACCTTCCATTCGCATTCGTAAATTGGTTGCCAAACTGAACTGGGACGCCAGTCCATGTGTCCCTTATATCCCTCCCTCCACATGGTAGTGTTCTTTTCCTCTCCTGGCGCGCCGGCGGGCCTTCTTAACGTATGTTACCCGTTTTCAGAATGTGCGTTAGCGATGCACACCACCTTGTATTTCACGATTTCTCTCTCCAGTGAGTAGATTACACCGATATGCAATGCATAAGGCTTCAAACCAATCTGTGAAACACTTGGTTTTCTTTCGCTATTGACTGGGAATCGAATTTGAACCATGTCAATTCCTAGATGACTATACTGACAAGCTTTGTGAGAAACGCCAGTCACCATTCATCACCGGGTTTTTGTGGTACCCGGATCTTTGTGTTTGACCTGCGACGCAGGAGTGACCCCGCGGGTCAAACCACTGCGTCGAAGGCTATAGCCTGAACATAACTTATCTCTCGGAGGGAGCAGCGGAAGAGCATCCATCTCACCCACAATCCCTCACGAATTTCATCCCTACTTCTTTCTCCCTCTCCGTCACAGCTTCGCACCCTGTGCCCAGTTTGCTGTTCAACATGAAAGTCCCCTTGCACATAGGACTATTTTCATATCCGCACTTTAGATCAACACGCGGCATCTCACTCTATGCTTCATTGTAGTTGTGATGGGTGCTATCTCCGAAACACAACACAATAGCGGCTTAGTCAGATCTATACTGCCTTATTTCTGCGTCTGTGATGTTACTGTCAACGGCCATGCTGTTTATATTGTATCATTGTTACAAACAGCGAACGATTGCAGGCTAGTTGGCTACATATCGATTGTTAAGTCCTCCGGATACCTGCTAACCTCGATCGACAACGCCAGAAGACTCGGTACCTTATGGTTTCGGTTGACGCTCACACGGTGGCTCAGAAGCTTGTGAAAACGAGTTCATCTTTAGCTCTTGTGATCGGCATGACCACCTATCCAAGAAGGGACCAGTGTGCTCGGGATTGGTGGTATTGGCGTCAATTCCGATCACATCATCTATTCATACGGAGCCAACCGAACGAGTCAATACAACCCAGTACTGAGATTGATCATTACATCGCATTTCACCACATTTAATGCCCGTTATTGCCTAGCTGCCTCCTAGCCTAACTTGTAATTTGACGACTCGGGTTCGAAGCTGCGTAGGGGCAGGGCGATTCTCGCGGTATCCTTAGCCCACATACGACCGGTAGCGTTGCGCGGCACCGAAGCGTCAGTACTGCGTCCCGGCGTACTGCTAATGCCTTTTTACAATCAGCCTGAGCTTGTTGCTTTAACGGAGTGCAATTTGTGATTCGTAAAAAGATCAGTCTGCATCATGCATCAGTCTGCATATGCGTAGGTATTCAAGGACTTCCGAAAGCGTCTGCGTAATATCTAAGGTGCGAAAGCCGAATTGTCCACCCTGTACCCCATAGGGAAGCATCAGCAATACGCCGCATCGACACTCCGCTGCCACAGGACCACCACCGGTCGCACACATGCACCTACGCAAGTTAGAACCGGTCACCTTAGGGTTACAAAGCGATGGTCTCAATGACTACCATCTTAGTATTGCAACTTGCTGGCTAGTGACGCAAGCCGCTGGTGGTCATAGACTTGGTTCCTGTTGGAGTCGAGGGATATGCACTACTGAGGAATCCCGATATTATATGACGGTCGAATAGTTCCTTTTCTATATTTACCCAGTGTGGAGCGTTAACAAACTGATCGACCTTAACGAAATGTGAGCTTGCGGAAAGCTTGAGGGCAAATAGGTCCTCGATGATCTTTAACATAGGTGCGCATACCATCATAGCGTCATTCTCTCTCTACATAAAGTTCATGCTTATCAGCAACTTCTCATGGAATACCCCGAACTCATATAGATGACGAGAATTTTCACTCCAGTATGTCAGTGAAGTACCTAGGTGTAACAGTCGTAATCGTTCCTAGTCACTCCATGTTAGTGATGTTTTTACAAAGGTGCGGAGGCTTTCGTTCTACGCCCTTCGTTTGCGATCCTCCTCTGTCCTCCGCCACTTAATTCCGAAATTTATCACTGCGTGCGCCTTATTCCTTTGGGCCTATTGCTCCACCGTGATACTTCCTGATTTCCTAAAGAAGCACTACAAAATCCTAGATAGGTCATTAACGCAATTATTTCGATCTAGTGGAATTCCCAAGCCGATCTTTGTTGAGATTCTTGTGTACAATCATACATAAGGCTTGCTTAGATACTACTGATACAAGTCACTTCATGGTGCACTGTCTGCGTGTATCAACATTCTCTACCAGACAATACATCCATTTTGCCCGCTCTCTCATCCGTTATTCCCTATCTGGCACGTTTTTGTGCGACCAGATATCAGTTGTCCTGAAGCTTAAAAACAATTTTGCATCATAACCATACTGCTGTTTATGCCACTTATTACTCTACTTGTGTATTGACTGCTTTATTTCTTTTACTATGCTGAAATTATGTGTAACAACTGAATATTCACCCTTATGGGTGCATAAAGCACTTTCTCGGATTGAAGAATTGCATTGATATAATCGGGTGATACTTCTGGAATTCGGTCTTGGGTACAGGTGTTGTAACGGGTCTCCGTATGCCAAGGATGAAGTTATTTGTCAGAAATGGTTTGGTGAGTAAATTGGCACACATTTTCGGAACAAGCGGTAACATAGCGTCGGAATCACTAGCCCTAGCTAACCAAGTTTTTGCGTTCTAGGTAGACATGTGGCAGAGCTTAGATCAGCGCCCAGTTGGTCAACATCCGCGTGAACTTTCACCATTCAATTCTTCCAACGTTTCCGACCGTTCACTGTGATTATGGTTGATCAGAGTGGGTTCGATATGCAGGTTGTCCCATTTTGGTATCGTTTTATGTTACTAGTCCTTATGTATCTGTAAACTCAATCTTCGAAGTTGTTTCCGTAGCAATGAAGAAAACGATTGTTCCAACAAAGCTGCACAAATCAGAGCAACAGTTGAGGTTGGCAGCGAGCTGCTCCTTCCCCCCTCCGTCTCATGCGGGAAAATCGAGAAATCGGTGAAAATTAGCCTCTTAAGAATATTCGGATCACATAGTAACTCAGCCTCCATGTTATTTGTGTCGGATGAGTTATCGCAGAACTCTACACCGCACATGCAAAGTACTCTCGCAGAGTGAACCGATACACTGTCGACTCTCTCTCTGTCTCAGTGTTTCATCGGAACACTTAGATGCAACACATAGGTAAGTACATTCGTTGCACTTTCTTACTCGCATTTTCGGTGCTGCGAAAACGGTGGATACCCAAGGGAACTCAAGACACGAAACATACCCCCAGTCGAGAAACCAGTTTGTGTGTGCCACCACATTCAAACCTTTCTGAAATCACATTCCTTTTCGTTCATTTGGCTAATTCAAGGCTCGCTCGAACAATGTGGTAGTCCAACGCTTTTGTTGCGCGCTGGCGTTGTATCCGCCTCCACAGGTGCGCACGGCAGCCATGCTTTGTCTGCGCATTGTGTGCGCCTCGGCTCCATTCACACATGTCTTTGTGCGGCGGCAGTCCCCGTTCCTGTGCTTTCTTTGCCCTCTCTCTTAGCCGTGTCCTCTCGATGGGCCGACAAACCACCTGCTTCTCGCTGACCTCATATGACCCCATCCCTTGCTCCGCATCTGCTGAAGCCCCGGACCAGCTGTACGAACTATACACATTCGTGACCCCACGTTGTCCTCACCGTGTGCGCGCTTCATGTGCACCACCGGTCTCACACAGGTATGCGTAGTACAGAGCTAGATAAACTGACTGCATACGTTTCGCCACATTACGAGATGGCATCATCATTGCGGTGTTGTGTAGTGGGTAAGTTTGCTGGTCGGATCGTCCATTCGTAATCGGCATGCGGCTGACTTTTGAAAGTGACATCCTTGACTTGTGCCTCGTGATCTTTGCCCATTTTCCCCCGCGGCTGGAGCTGTCGATTGAGCTGCTCGTCGTCTATCTCGTTTTGGACTTCACCTTTTGACGCGCCAGGGGGTCTTTCTTCCTGTTGTATATATATATATATATATATATATATATATATATATATATATCTTGTAACCCTAATCTGCGAGCCAACTATCTATGTTGCTATTTGCTTACGACTGTACGTTGTTTGCACACAGCGCGGATGAGTTGCAGCACATGACTAGTGTTCTGGTTTCGACAGCGACCAAATTCGGGCTCACCATCAACACAAACAAAACTGTTTGTCTCTTTCAGCTTTCACCTGAGGTGCAGTCTGCAATGGTGCCGCGAATCAGCATTTGTGCTGAAGTATTGGAAACCACCTCCCGCTTCTGCTACATTGGGAGTGTGGTTTCGAGTGACCAGCAGCTACACAGTGAGCTGCATATCCGCGTCTCGAAGGCATCGGCGGCATTCGAGAAGTTTGATTACCGAGTGTGGAACAACCATTAGGTTCCCATTCGCACGAAGCTGATGGTGTACACATCCATGGTGCGGTCCGTTCTTTTTTACGGCAATGAAACGTATGGTGTTTGAGATCTATTTTATTGGTTATTTCATTTCATGTGATTGGCTGCTGCTTGACATT